CAGATTCACAAAGTACAATTGGCTTTGCAAACTTACTGCAAATATCAGCTCTTGTAGTGATTTCTAAAGTTATGATTATTTCCTAATAGCAAGTTCTATGCAGGCATGAATTATTATAACCCTTAAACAGTTTTATAAAACTCCTAAGGAGGATCTTACAGCTTTGATACTACTTGGCTGTTCAATGTGATGCTTTTGAAATTGTTTTCATCTTGAGACTGATAGCCTGCAATATTTTCTTTAATCTGCTCCTGGATCTTTAAGGCTGGGTTAGGTGCCTTCTCTGCACAGTTCCTTGATTTCTTATGAACATTTTTGTGTTCATAGCAAATTCAAAGCAATTTGCGTCAGTAATTCTTATAATTTGTTGATCTTGGAAATTCATTCATAATTATATCTTGCTTCCGTTTAGCATGGATTGTATTTAAAAAAGGTGATCAGATGAACTGAAGGGGTGGCTTTGAGAGGAAACTAAGAACAGCTCTTTTGGAAGATTGTCATTGAAATTAGTTAAAGTATATATTGAGCAAGAGGAGCTGCTAGAGAGTTTGACAGAGTTCTAAGACAAAGAGACTTGTTCTGACAAATTTGTGTGTGGATGAGGAAGAGGCTTGGTTCTGCTGCTTTCTTTGGTTCAGCTTAAGGAACAGGAAAAACTCCTGTATATTGTGTGTACGTGTGTTGGGGCAGGGCAATATAAAGTAGGTGGAAAGAGGATGGAAGAATGGGGGTTAGATGTGACTCTTCTAAACATGCATTTCCTTGAGTCAGAACATGATGTAAAGGTGGTTTGGATATAAAAAGATGCACAGCTGCAAATCGGCAGGAGTGTGAGTCCCTCAGTACTGCTCAGAACTGTCCTGCAGCATAGCAGTGTGTTCTCTTTAATGGTGCTGGGGAAGTGTTGACGAATTTAATGTAAAGCCTTGGAGCACTATAGAACCCGTTGTCATGGGGTTTTGGCAGTTTGTAAGAACTTGAGAGGTGCAGAAACAATGTTATTGTTCCATTAAGGCACATGGGTCTGTAGGAGCGAATGTAACAGGAAAACTGCTCTGAGTAAGGAGAGACTGTAAAAATAAAGGCATGGGATGTTAGAAAAACAGTCCTTTCTTTCATCCTCATTCTTAAAAATAAAGAAGGAGCTGAAGATTGGTAGCCAGAATTCTTGGAGACTGAAAGAACAATCTGTAAACACTTGAGGGACTTGGTAGTCACAAGAAGATAAGAGGGAACCCCTTTAACAGCGTTCATCAGAATTCCCTGACTGGGGCTCCTTTTCTCTGGCTCCTTCTCCCTAGGGGTCTGCATCTTATCTCGCTGGCTTCCTTTCCTTTATTTGCCTCTGACTAATGGGCTTTGTCCTCTGGTTACTGGAAGTCTAATAATTTCTTTTGTCTCTTCCCCCTTCCTCCTTTTAAAAATACTAGATTAAATGGCTGTAATGTTTTGCAGATTATCTGCATTGGTGACATGGATTAATTGTATACTTGACTCTAAGTTATTCAGCAGTAATGACATAGTGACTTGACTTGAAACAATGGTAATTTCAAGGCAAATGTTGCCTTCTGGTAAAAAGCCACCTGCAATTTACCCCCTGTAAACATATGACACAAGTAAACTGTGCTAGTTTTTTCAGTGTCTTCTATACAGTAAGTTGTCTCAAACATGTCTTTTGAAACAGTCACCTATCTCCTCTTCTCCCCTGCCCTCCCCTCCCTCCCCCCCCATCTTATTTAACTCTAGTTTGAGTCAGGTAATTACAGATCTGGGTTGAAGCCTTCCCAGGGAGTGATCAGAAAAGCCAAGCCTTGCAGACCTGCTCCCATCATTCACTTGTACCATGACTTCACCCTTTCATGAAAAGGTTTTGTGGAAGTGCTCAGCTATCAGTAACTGTCGGTGGGTGAGCAAGTCTGAGAGTCCCAGGAGTTGTTGGCAAACCGAAGGGGAGCTCTGCTTTCCCTCAACGCCAGTATTCTTTAAAGGCGACATAAGGAGACAGTCCCTGTGACATGTGGCTTTGGTGTGAGAGCTTGGTGATGTTTTTGCATTCTGACCTCAGTGTTAACTAGAACAGAGCAAATAGGGGAAGAGAGAGTGAATCAAAGCTGCTTGCCTAAAAGATGATCTGAGAACTAACCCATTTAGGCTCGTTATGTCTCCGTTTTATCCATTTTTGTTGGGGGACAGCTCTCCAGTCCAATGATCTGCGTCTTAAAGGAAGCAGAAAATCTGGATTTTAGGTTAAGGTTATTTAATTGCAGTATTTCACTACTAGAAGAGTGATGGTTAGGGGATTACTTAGTTGTAAATATTAAAGAATTCCTTTATAGAAGTGAAAATACTGTAGAGAAACCAACAAAAGCATAGGTGGTGAGACAGGATTCCAGTAAAGACAGTGAGCTAGTATAATCTTCTGGTCTCTCGGAAAGGATAGTTATAAATGCTTTTCTGTCTGTGACATCTGTTTTGTGAAAGACAAAACTTACTTAGCAAAATGTGAGAATGCTGTTACTGACCCCCTGTCACAGTTTGTTATTCCCAGAAAGTCAGACTGCCAAAGGCAGTCATAGTTATTTGTTGTCTTGCTTTGCGTATTTAGTGAACAAAAGTGTGTTTTTTTTAAACCAAAAGGCTTGTGTGCTCCTGAAAAATACCAGACTCTTATTTTGCATCCATGCATTAGCAGAAAGTGACAGGTTTTAGTTCTTACTCTGAAATGTTTTAGTGCAGGATAACTTTTCCTTCTGCAACTTTGAAACACCTAATGCAGTCAGTCTTATCCTTTTGTTTTAAAATTGAAAGGGAGGGAGAAAAGTCACCTTAATGCCTATGATTATGGGAGGTGTGTGTAGCTTAGTGATAGACTTACAAACATGAATGTCCTAGAACTTGGTTTTGGTCATATGCTGACTGTTTAATATTTTCATTACAGATGAGTCTGTACAGAAAGCCTCGAGTACTCTGGATCAGCACATAAATGGGCGGTCTGAAAATGCCAAAGGTCTGATGTATACCAGCTTCAAGCACAGTTACCTGTGCTTGGAGTTAGTGATTATGTCTCGTGAGGCACAGGATAGGTACCTACACACCTTACTTCTCTTGTGAGACACAGGATATCAAGTGAAATCAAGGATATGTGGAAACTTGTTAGCAAAAAGTGTGTGTTGGTTGAAGCTGCCACCGGATTTCTCAAGGAGAGATGAGAGTCTTTGTTATAACTGATGACCTAAGTTTAAGTACTCAAAGGATCTCCTTTGAAGCTGTTGATACAGTGAACATCTAAATACTGCAGCATCCTTTGTACAGTGTAAAGGGTTAGTGTCATTCACTGTAAT